AGTGGAGAACAGGGCTGCAGCGTGTTGGAATGTGCCATGGTAGAACTTTGGTGGAGACTCTGGAGTGTCCCATTGGAGTGAGCTTAGAGGGGAAAATGGCTGGAGTAATTTCCTGATCCTCAGGGGTGCTGTGCTGGGTCAGTGGTGATAATGGGGGGCAGGTTCTACTCATGTTCCCAAAACTCAAGAGAAACCCCACAGGTTCTCCACACTCAAGTGGCTGCTTCCCCCCAACCCTGTGTGAGCAGAGCACATGCTGTACCGCGTCCTCTTCCTGCACTGCAGCTGGCGGTATTGGTGCTTTAACTTCTAAATTCGGTGCCCCACCCACATACGGCAGCTGTGCGTTGAGTGATCAGTGGGCTTTCAGTGCGCCCACTTCGCAGCTGTGAAGATCGTTATTCCCCTCTCCACATTCTTTTGGCACAGTCAGACTGGCTCTTTTTGGAACACCGCTGCTTTATCCACCTCACGAGCCACTACTGATTTACGGGCAGGACCCTTTCCATTTCCTTTGCTGTGGCTGACACAGCTACTAACACCCAGCCAGCCCCAACTAAATCCAAGTCTCATGAACATCAGTGTAGAGCAGTAACCACCCAGCCGATTGGTAGATGTGTATTTACAGGAGCTGTTCTGTTAAAGTAAGCAGGTTCCTGTCTGTCTGTCACTGACACGCCTGTACTGCAGGGAGCAGATAGAAACTGGCAAAGGGAGACACTAAACCCTTTTCTTGAAGGGTCTTGATCTCTCAGGGATCCCCTCAGCTTTTGCTGTGAGCCAGAGACAGCCTCTTCTCTGTAGAACTGATTCTGCCATGTGACTCCTGTGCTATGGGGGTGGGTGAGGGAACCATTCTCCATCAATGGCCACAGTGTTTGTGCCCAAGGCCCTGCAGCCTGAGATGCTGAGGAGGCAACAGAGTCCCGCAGGGCCCTCTGCCCCCTCCCATTAAAGGGGTTACTTCTCTTTCAGGACAAGTTCCTGGCTGATATGGACGAGCTGTTCTCTCAGGTGGATGAGAAGAGGAAGGTGAGGATGGGCATACAAAGGTGCGGCTGCTGTGAGCAGGCAGGGAGGGGAGGGCTCAGAGTGAGCCTCAAATGTGACTGATAAGGTAGCTTAGCTCATCCCGTCCTGTTTGCCCTACCACCTGCTGTTGGGCTGATTTAAAACTTGCGTGGGACCAGGTCTCCACAACAAGAGCTGGAACAGGCCAGTGCTACACGTGAGGGACCGGAGCCCCAGATGTGAGGATGAGCTTGGGACTCCAGCTGCACTGGCTGGTGGAGATGGGGCATTTCATGGGTGAGAACTGCTCCCTGTCAGTCAGCTGCTCTCTTAGCCTTGGAGGAGGCCATGCACCTCTCTGGATGGACCATTAACAGCATAGTAGAAGCTCCAGCTGGGGTGGATTTAATGGCTAGTTGGAGTGAAAATATGGCCTTGGTACAGAGGTAGAAACCAGCACCTGCCCTTACCCAGCTGTGTTATCTGATGTGCAGTGCAGGGTTCTCCCTCGTGTGCCTGATTCAGGGGTGAAATCTGTGCTGTTTGCACCCACGCTGAGTCCTGTCCCTGGCTCCCCTGTTCATTGGTTAGCTGCATTCGACTGGGACATGGGCTTGCTGCACATGGCTCTCTAACGCTGAACTTTTGTTCTCTCTCGAGTCAGAAGCGCGACATCCCCGATTACCTGTGTGGGAAGATCAGTTTTGAACTGATGCGAGAGCCCTGTATTACCCCCAGTGGGATCACCTACGACAGGAAAGACATAGAAGAGCATCTTCAGGTAATGGGGGATCCGAGAGGATGGGCGGGCTGGAGGAAAGGAAGAGTGCGTGTACGCGTGAGGTAGGGAAACCCAGGAGATAGCAACTTAAATCAGTCTCCGAACAGGAGGTCATGTCCTGCCAGATGCTGCGCCTGCACCCCAGCCCCGTGGCTGCACGTGTAGGTTTGCAGGCTCTCCCCTTTGCGGGTGAAAACCCCACCAAGATTGGAAACTGACTGTACTGGGGAAGAGCAACACAGACTCAACCCACAGAGCTGTAAGGGGCTTGCTCCCTCCCTTGTCCTAGAGCAGCTGCAGCCCCTTCAAGCCCTGTGGGGCATTCGTGGGCCCCAGCCTAAGGATTTTCAGAGGCGGGTAATTCGCTCATCGAGTAGTCGATAGAATTTTGATCGACTACACGATTAGTCGATAAGGGAAGAAGTGCTCAATCCCAGCTCGCTCTGGGTCCAGGAGCGACCCCTTCTGTGGCTCTGCATTAAGAGCCAGGCGGGAAGGCAGCCCGGCTCCTGCTACGTTTAAACTCCGGGGCTGCTGCACCAGGGGTAGATCCCGGGCTGGCACAAGTGGGACTGAGCTGGGCTGCCTGCCCGTGGAGAGCCTGGGCCTGCTGTGGGCAGAGGCTGCTTTGGAACTGCCTCCCCTCGCTCCCCCTCCCACTGCTGCTTCTGATAAGGGATGGTGTTGGGGGGAACCAGTTTTTAAGCCAGGTCCCCCCAACACTGGTTCCTGCTTCCCCTCCCCCTTGCTGCCTCTGATACAGAGGCAGTGGTGGAGGTGGGGAAATGTGAGTAGTCGACTACTTGCTTACATCCCTACACCAGGCCCTGGTAACAAGGTAGAAATCTGCCTGGCCATAGAGGTGGGGCCTGTAGAAAAAGCAGTGGAGTTTGGACACCCATCTAAATCTTAAATGCTGAAGTAGCTTGTTTTTAAAGCGTGAGCGTGTCCGTTCTGTCCCCCAGCCCTTCTGGGGTTAGGGAGGGGTCTGTGAGATGAGCCACGCTTATGGAGTGCTTCATCCTGTGAGGTCTTCAGGGGGTTGAGTCCTGGTCACCTCGCCCTGCCATTCTCTTTGCACGGTGCCGGAGCAACGAAGAAGGTCAGAGTGCTCGAGCTGTAATTGCAGGGCTGCTGGCTGGGCGCGCTCAGCGAAACTATCCTCACAGCCAGGGTTTTCCAGCCCGCACTCAGCCAGTCTGGCCTCGCAGGCATGCTGTAAAGTTCCTGTCTGGGGAGACGTGAGAGGGGAATGTGGAGGAGTCTTATGTTTAGACATGGGCCCTCAATCCTTGTTGCTGGATCTATGTTTTAAGAGGATCTGTGCACCCAGAGCAGTGTTAAATTGCCAAGTTCAGTTACATCTCAGCTCTCTCCTTTGTGCACTCTGTGCCATGGGATTGCTGGCCCACTCCTGGCTGTGGGGGGGAGGCAGAGGGAGGAGGGTGCTGGTCCTTCTGAAACCCCCCCAGCAGGGGGAATGGCTGTGACTGAAGAGCTGTTTCTCTTGGGGTAGCAAGTAACAAGCTGAAGAAAGAAGTGGCGATAAGAGGGGAAGGGACAAGACATCGCAGATTAAAGCGTCCCGCTGTGGAATCCTGTGAGAGACGCATCCCTCATGGAGGAGGAGGCGGCAGGGGCTAGCCACACCCGGGGAACTGAAACTGACCATGACTAGGGGATGCAGCTGCAGGGACAGGGTAAGGGGCTGGCATCTCACATTTGTGCTGTTTCCATCCTCCTTACGTCTCTCTTCCCTTTCAGCGTGTTGGTCATTTTGATCCTGTGACCCGAAGCCCTTTGACCCAAGACCAGCTGATCCCAAACCTTGCTATGAAGGAGGTGATAGATGCTTTCATATCAGAAAACGGCTGGGTAGAAGACTACTGACAGCTGAGCGGGCACAGACCTCTGGATCCTCACGGCATCCCCAGCTGTGACAGCAAGGCTCGCTCTGCTATGGACTGCTCTCGGAGCATGCTGGGCTGGCACCATGCCTTACTCACTTTCTCTCTCTCTCTCTCTCTTCTCTGGATGCCCAGAGGTCCATTGGCAGTGCTGGACTAGGGTGTATTATCATCTTTTCTCCCACAAACCACAGCTGGGGCAGACTGACTGAGCAGGACCTTGGAGGGTCCTTTCTCGCCTGGTCCTGGTAACCTCCCAGCGTGATGGACAGAAGCCCGACTGCCTTAGGCCGGCAGGCAGGAGGACCTGGCCCTGGAGGCAATCCACAGAAGCACTTTTGGAAGAGCAGTGTCCCTCTGTACTAGCCAGCACCACTGCTTTTCAGAACCCACCTCGGATCCTTGGCTGTACAGAAAACACAGAAACAGCTGCCGACTCCTTTCCCCACAGCATCAGCCCTGCTCCTGGGGAGAGGCGGGAGCCGTGGCCAGGGCCCAGGCTGTGATGGGCAAGGAGCTGGCTTGGAAAGGCTCACCTGCGCTCCATGCTCAGCTGCATTCCCCACTCCCCTCCCTCTGTACATAGTTTGTGTTTCTTTCTTCCTACATCTCCTGTCTGTCTAGCGTAGCTGTCTCCATGTTTTCCTGTAAATAGCCACTTGTTGGGGGAGGGAAATGAAATATATATTATAGAGACGTTGCCTGGCGTGTGGGCTCGTGCTGGGACACCCGTGTCCTGTAGCATGGATGCTGTGACCCATGGGAGGCCACTCTCCAGCCCCAGGGGCAGTAGCTCCCTGCTAACCACTTGGATCAAAGTTCATACTTGTTTTAATTAAACCCTTAAAAAAATTGGCCTCGAGTGTTGTGGTTGTTGAAAGCTGTGATGCCTGATTGGCCTGCAGACTGCCTGGCTTCAAGAGCTCGTGTGCCAACGTTAATAAATATCTCAGCAATAAGTGTCTGAATAAACAGTCTGAATGTTTCATGATTGCAGGGAACTCTTCTTTGAAAAGGCTGGGTGGAGGCACCAGGGAGCAGAAGTGGTGGGACAGATGAACAGCAGTTGCACAGACGACACTTCATTGCTTAGTAAGGAGCGCAGGTAGGCTGCTCACACTAAGATGCATCATGGCATGCTGGGCACGAGCCTCCAGAGGCTGCACCTCCATGTGCGAGATGAGGGTAGCCACAGTCTTCACATGTGAGGCAGCACCTGCATGGGGATCTGTGTACGTATTCTTGGTGGTGTTATCTCTGCCAGGTCTCTTCAGTTGCATCACATGGGCAGGGCTGTGTTCTCACAGGGAGTGTTCTCTGCTTTTGGATTTGTTAATTTCTAAACCTGTTCTGCTGCAGTTTGAAGTTCTGTCCCCTTCAGATCCGATTTCCTAGGGAGAGCTTTGGTTATATTTTGATACTTGGAGAAACCCTCTGGTGCATGGATGGGATGGCTCGTGGACCCAGGAAAATTGTGGGGTGTTTCTACCTGTTTGTGTGGATGCAAAGGGTCAGACTATAGATGGGGGCAGGGGGAAAGGGGGCAAAGCTCCTAGCCTCAGTATCTTTGCTCTGCTGTGCAATCTCACGGCCAGGAGGGGGCTTTTAGATTAATACAAAGCCAAACCTGTTTGTTGGGTGGGACAGTAAGAGAAGAGATGCTTGTAGCTTCATGTGTTGTCCAGGGCTGGAGAAGGAAGTAAATCTCAGATGTAGCCTTAGTTCCTCCCAGAAAGGAGGAGGGGGGGCTGTGAGCAGTGTTACTTCCTATTGAATGAGTCTTCAGCTGAAGTTGTTAGCCCACCTGGCCTGGAGTGTTTGCCAGGTTATTTATAGTGGGGGGGGAATAGCCTTTATGAAGGCAGGGCCACTGGCACGTATATTTTGTTGTTGAAGGGGGAGAATATACATAGCAAAATACTTGAATGTAACAACTTCTTAGCAGACACTGGTCTAGCCAGTCTGTGGTCCTACTTGGAGTCAAGGTTTCCTCGGCTGCTGGTGCATCTTGCTGTTCTCCTGGTCTGACTTGCTGATCGTTGCACTGTGATCTGAAGTGTGAGGACTGGAGGCCTTTCCATTTAATCTCACTAATCTACCTGCAGATGCTGTTTTTAATTTTGAAGTTCCCACTGATTTTTCGGTCATACTGAGAGCTCATTGCCTGGCTGATACCTGGGGCAGAGAATACTCCAGCTTAGTAACAGGCTGCAAAAGAGGATTGTCTTTTAGTGGTAAATGGGTTGTCTTTTCAATTCCATCAGGTAGCCTTTCATTCTTGCATCAAGTGCTGGGCAGGAGTCAGCACCTACTTGGCCTCTGAATCATTTGCACTTTGCAAACTAAGCTCCCTTGTTCCCCCTCAGTGAACGCCTCTCCAAATTCAAGAGCAATTACTGAGAGAGGAAGGGGAGCAGGTGCTGTGCCCTGCATGACGACCGTTGTTCAGATTTGTTTTCAAGGCACCAGTGTTCAATCTTGATGGTTTCCAGAGTCAGTCGGACAAGTGCCTCAGGACATTTCAGAATGGCTGGGCAGGACCAGGCCTTGCCTGCCTGGTGACAGCTGCACTGATGACCCACATACCGGCTGACAGAGCCACATGCCGTGCAGAGCTGTCTGGACTGTCGAGCAGCACGCTAGTTTACAGCAGTGCACGAGGTGAATCTTTCACAGAATTGTCCTAGCCCAAGAATTATTTAGAGGGCGCATTGCTTGGAGGCAGTGTGGCCTGTGCTCATTAGGATGGAAGGGACTTTGGGTTGGGACAGGAATCTGTCTCTGGTAAGGGACTTTGGGTTGGGACAGGAATCTCTCTGGTCCTGGACCTGGACCTGTAACGCCATGCCTATTTGGTCTGAGCACTGCAGTCAGAAGGGGTGACTGCAGCATGTGTAGACGCAGTGGAACTAGTTTTGATCTAGCCTGAGTAAGCACCGTGAGCCAGAGGCAGCATGGGCAATACCTTGGTGTTAGAAGTTCGGGGTGGGTCTGGCTTCGTTGTTACTTGAGCTTTAGCTTTGCTCTGGCTAGACCAGGGGTGGGGAACCTAAGGCCCGGGGGCTGCCCTGGCTTGCTTGGATCCAGCTCCTGAGGCTTGGAGATTCCCCCAGCATTGGGGAGCCCATGCTGGTGGGGGTGTTTTTTGTTTTGTTTCTCACTTGTGTACAGCCCCTGACTGGTCATTCTGTGGGTCAGTGGCCCCTGACCCAAAATAGGTTCCCCACCCCGGGCTAGACCAAAGGGAGCTCCTGTCTGAATATGTGGCACTCGCGTCTTCCAGCTGCAGTGTAATCAGATCCTGTGTGCGGTGCTAGCTGAAAGCACTCAAAGCTCTGCGGGGGGGCAGCAATTGTGAAAACAAGCTGAAAGCACTCAAAGCTCTGCGGGGGTGGGAGGGAGCAATTGTGAAAACAGCCCCCAAAGCCAGACTCACTCTTGGAATAACCTTGTGCGTGTCAGAGCAGGGATGAATTTTCCACCATGCCTGGGGACATGAGTAAATGAGAGAAAAAGTAGCAGCTGCTTCATGTGCGGTAGGATTCAGCGCCAAGGGCAGTCGTGACAAGTGCACAGTTCAGGTTGGTAATTTTAATCCAGAAATAGAAAAATCCCAATAAATAACCTAAACTCTTATTTCAGTATCTGCTGCTGCTTGTCCATTAACCTTCAAGTGAGAGCCAGCCCAGTCACCGGCTCACTGAAACTGGTCCTTCCTTTTTCCCCTGCGCCCACGAACAAGCACCAGGAAAGGAGAGAGACTGACAGAGGTATGAGGGGAGGACACAAGGGCATTGGAAGCTGCTGGTTTATCTCTAGAGCTTGACCATTCACAGAAGAGTCTTTGTAGTATTATCGCTCCTGCCTAGAGCCCAGGGTTGAGCCAGAAGCTGCCTTCTGCGATGGACTCTCTTCCTCAGCTGTTAGAAACACAAAGAGGATGTGAAGGAAGAGGAGGCCAGCAAGGGGAAGAGCTGTCCATGGAGAAGAAGCTGAACTGTGTCTGAGCTGCAGAGAGGAACCGAAAGGGAGTCCAACAAAGTCCACCAGCTGCTGGAAGCTCCTCCCTGCATGGGAGTCCGGTTCCCCCTTCAACTCAAGCCCAGCAGCTGCTCAGCCACCGAATGGGGGTGGTGTCCACACAGAGCAGGATAAATCTGTGATGAATTAGATGGACTCTTCCAGGGTCAGCTGCTCTCAGGCATGGCTCTGCCCATTGGTGCAGGGTTCTTGTGGGGAGGGAGGCGATAATCCACCAGCAGGGGGTCTGGGCTTTTAGCTCCAGTTGTAGCAGGACAGATGTGACAATTCAGCTCCCAGAGAACCACCAGGAATGTCAAGCGAGCAAAGCCCTGAGCTGTTACCCCAGGAAGGTGGAGATGAAGACACTGGTGTCCAAATTGAGGGTGGCGTGCCACCAGCGGTCAGGGAAATACAGGACCTGCAGAGGAGACAGACGAGAGCAAAGGGGAGCTGTTGTCTGTTCCTTCACTGGCTGTGCAGCCTTGATGGAACTGCCCCTTCTGTTGCTCTCCCCCTCTCCTCCCCGCCGAGCTGAGAGCTGGGGATTGGGTCCTTGGTGCAGCCTTGCTAATGCCCCCGCAGAGGGATGATGTGCTGCCCTTTGTGTCTGCAGGGTTGGACTTTTAGCAAGACTGAGCTTTATACGGGTACCAACTAACAGCTGTACCCACCCAAAGGGCCAGAGGGGCACGGAGCAGACACATGCTGACAGCTGACTGCACCGGTGTGGCTACAGTGTAGATAACTGGTCAGTGAGGGCTGCCGGGGACAGTTTTACAGTGTTAATGAGGGAGTCCTGTCCCTTTCCCAAAGCTCTCTCCCTTGAGCCACGCAACCCAAGGGAGTACCCAGGGGCCTGGCATTGGGCAGCAGCAGAGGCGGGGCCCCCTCTCTCACTCACTGCAGTGGTAGGAACCGAGCCCGCTCCCCTCCATCTCCCAGCTGGATCATTCCGCTCCCCCGAGCCAGGTCACTCTGCTTTCTGCTGCCATGGTGCAGCAGAGCAAGCTGCTGGGTAGCTTTGCTTCCCCCAGCTCCCCTGGGAATCCCATAGGCTCCCTTGGGACTCGTGACCCCAAAGGATCCCGTGGGCGGGACACCTCTGTAGCTATGCTGTAAGGGCTTTGAGATCCTGACAGCTGAGCGCAAAGAAGGGCCAATGTCACAGGACATGCCATTGTGTTTTATACCCCTCCCTCCCTAGTATACGTGATCCTCAGCCAAGTGAGCCCCGCTGCTGTCCCGGGGGCAGGCAGTGCTGTTCTCATTTCCCTGCTGGGGCCTAGAGCGATGCAGACTCGTGCAGTGTCCGAGGGGGAGCTAGGGACAGACGTCACCGCAGTATCTTAGCGCCTTACAAGCTCTAGGAGATTTACTCTCCGCTCACGCCCAGGGGCTCTGGGACTCGCTCAGGTTCCCACACAATGCCCCCAGCAGAGCAGGAAATCAACCCCCACAGCCAGGTCCATTCCGCCTCTCTGCTGCCCTTTGGGCCAACACGGCTCCTGGCTGCACGTTTGCTGCTGATTCTTGAGCGTGTGCCCCCTCCGGGTGTGGCTCAGTACTGCCTGAAACGCCCAGGTGTTTTCCTATCCAATTGACTACGCCTCCCCACAGCAGTGCCAGCATCAGAGGGTAGGATCCTCCAGGCCAGGCTTTGGCTGGGGAGCAGTAATGGGGATCTGTCCCCTCATGCTGGTGCACGGGGCTGGTCAGTGTACAGCTGGGCTCTGCTGTGGGAATGGCTGGCCCTCTGACAGCTTCAGCTGTGGGGTCCCTGATCCCCTCCCAGCCCATGTGGCAGATTTGCTGCTGTTCTGTGGCATCAGAGCATCTTCCCACCCACTCTCTCTGGCTACCAAGCCCCCTTGAGCAGCTGTGTGTGTGTGTGGCTGGCTGGCTCACCAGGCCCCAGGGGGCAGGACTGACCTCGCCTGGATGAATGGTGCACTCCACAGGACGGTCCTCCGGCGGCAGGAACGGGTATGTGTCCAGCAGCCAGGACAGTGTTGTCTTATTGGGGTGAAACTCGGGGGTTTTCTCCGGGGGATACAGAAACCAGCGCTGCAAGAGAAGGGCTCAGACACCCCGCTCTGCCCGGCATGGCGTCCCCTTTCACTAGGGATCTGCCAATCTCGGCCTCCCTGAGGGTGGGCTCCCCCTCCGTCCCCACTCATGGGTGCACCCCTCTTCCCTACCCCCAAGGCCCAGCAGTTCTCCTTCCTCCCTCCTTTCTTGGAGGGGATGTGGGGGTGGCCTGTGTAAGAACTGCTAGGGCTCTGCCAGCCACCCTCGTATGGACACAGGAATCTGAGTGCCTGATCCCCTGGTCAATGGGCAAGGGCTGTCGTCTTGTTCCGTGTGTACAGCACCTAGCACATCAGTGCAGTCTGGGTCCAGACTCTTGCCATAGGGGCCACCAAGGAACCACCACTCCCAGCCCTCTGTGTGTACAAGTGGCCAGGTGCAGTATGGAGAAATTTCCCAAGCCTTAGGCTTTGGCCAGGGCAGCAGATAGCACCCCTGGCTTGGCTCAAATCCCCACTTTGCTCTGCTGCACAGTGGGCTCTGGATGGGGAACCCCCTGGTTTTCCTAGGGCCCATAAATCAATCTGCTCACCTTCCTGCCGTAGATCACTTCTGAGTACCCTGGGCCGTGCCAGTGAAAGGGAACCCCAGAACCGGAGCCTGCGGGCGACAGAGCAGAGAGGCGCTGAGATGGACTGTGCCTGCTGGCTGCCCTGCTGCCTTTGGAGGGCCCCACTGCAGTGTGGCCATCGCTTCTGGGCTGACGTGTCCATCTGAGCCTGGGAAGGAAGTCCCTACAGCCCATTCCGTCCCCCTAGCCCCTATTCCCAGGGTGGTACTGACCAGCGATCCCAAAGCTGTAGGCCCCGCTGGTGCCTGGAATCCGGAATGGAGGCGGCCTGTATTGCTGGAAGAGGGAGCCCCACTCGGTGAAGTTATTGTCCCCAAAGAAATAGAGCGTGTCTGGTGAGGGGAGGAAGAGACAAGGGTGACCCCGAGAGCTCTGGTCTGGCTGAGCATGCAGGCCGGGGAGGGATACACAACCCTGGCCAGGAAGTGGCCCCCAGCAATCCAGCCACATGTCTGAATCCGAGACAAGGCCTTAACCGGGAAGGCCTCTACTCACCACTGCCCAGGGATGCCAGATCCTGAGGCTCCAGCAGGTGCTCCACGTACTCCTGGAATGGCACGTCCACTGCGAGGGAGGAGACCGGCCGGTGAGAGTTCACAGGGTGTGTGACCTGGTTCCTAGCCAGGGCCAAGGACAATGCCTCCTCCCTCCTCCTGCTCATTCCCTCTGCAGCGCCCACAGCCCAGCAGCCTGGAAGTCCCTGTTGTTCCGTGGATGCCAGTGAACAACGCTGAGACCTTCTCCCCCAAGCCAAGAGCAATGCTGGAGCTCCAGGGCTAAGTGCATTGTCTCCAGGTCACAGCTGGGGAAACTGAGGCACAGCAAGGGCCAGCAATTTGCCCAAAGCACAGAGGGAGGAGGAAAAGGAGCCAGGCTGGCTTACAGTGTCCCCTGGACGACCAAATCCAAGGCCGCAGGCAGGATCTTCTGTCCCCCGCCCGCCATGGCAGCAGGAAGAGAAGCGTTGGCTGAGGCCAAGCAGCCTGTGTGTCTGTCCCCAGCTTTGCCCCCCCCATGTCTGTCTGGAGCGGCTGTCCCAGTGAGCATGAAGATCAGTGCATGTGCTCTGGAGCTAAGTGCCTCACCTTTGCGGTAGGAATAGGTGTTGGCAGTGCTGAGACGCACCAGGCGGTCCCCGAACTCTGCCAGCAGCTGGTCCCTTGTGCAGTGCGCCTGGAATTCCTGCAGGCACAGAGCAGAGGGACGAGGGGCCTGGGAAAGCTACTTGGAAATTGGGCTGGAGTGACAGGCCAGGCCGGGGCGGAGGGGCAGGGCAGCAATACGACATCCCTCCTCGCTTTAGCGCCGGCTTTCGAGCTGCCCATGAACACGCCCTTCTCAGTCCCAAATCCAGCAGGACACAGACCAACACAGGGATGCCCTGGAGCTGGTCCAGATGCCACCACAGGAGGAAACCTCCCACTTCAGGATCTATCACGGGGGACAGGGGCTCCCTTCCAAAATGGATGCCTTGGGTTACGCAGAAGCACTCCCCCAGCAGCTCTCCACTGTTTCCCATCACCCTGCATTGAGCGTCAGTGTCAATAGACCTCACACTGGCAGCAGTGACACCCAGCCGGATATGGAGCATATGTCTGGCAGCCAGGCACAACTACTACACTTGGACTGGGGGCAGGCTGGAAGGGCTCCGGGGGGCTGTTTCCCTGCATACAATGAGATGGCGGAGGCCAGCGGGGGAACGGCCCAGCCAGGAGCACACTGCACTTACCGAGTTGTCCGTGATGCCCTGGATAACAACAGGCCTGGAAAAGGCATATCTGGAAAACAGAGGGCATTCAATACTTTCCTGGCCCCTTGGGACCTGGCGCAGTCTACGTATCCAGCTGACTCCCCATCAGCTAAAGCAGAGCCCCTGGGTGACAGTACTAGTGCGCGCTGCAGTGAAACCCAGCAGTTACCACCTCTGCAACAGCTTTCCGTGAGCGATTCCCCGGGCCAAGCTGTTCCGTGCTCAGATATGGAAAACAGAGGGCATTCAATACTTTCCTGGCCCCTTGGGACCTGGCGCAGTCTACGTATCCAGCTGACTCCCCATCAGCTAAAGCAGAGCCCCTGGGTGACAGTACTAGTGCGCGCTGCAGTGAAACCCAGCAGTTACCACCTCTGCAACAGCTTTCCGTGAGCGATTCCCCGGGCCAAGCTGTTCCGTGCTCAGATATACGTTCTGTGCATGTTCAGTGGCAGGGGGCAGGCAAGCTTGGACAGCCACATTCACAGACCATCCCAAGGGCAGATCTTGGCCATGTGAGCTCTTGGGACAAGGAGCGACAGCGGGGAGGGGCGAGCTCTGTGCTTCTGGGTCTGCTGGAGGCTAACGGAGAAGCTGGGGTTGTGGGACGCGCTAGGGGAGTCACCGCTCTCTAGCAGCAGACAGAAAGCTCTGATATGGTCACTGGTTTGCAAGTTGCCTACTGGCCGAGAAGCCTCTCTGCTAACGCAGGGCGGGACCCTCAGGCCCGGGGGGCGGATGCTGGCTTGCCTGGATCTGGCCCTGGAGGCTCAGGGCTCCCCCCTGGCATTGAGGAGCCTGCACTGGCACGCCAGTCCCTCCGCTGCACCACCGTAGGGCTAGAGCACATACATTCTATTAGCCTAGCCCCCCCCCCCAGGCTCTGGTGTGTGAGGGGGATGTGGGGAGTGTCTCCTTTTCAATCAGGGCCACGCCAGTGAGGGTTTTTTTGGGATGGGGCACACGGTGGGTTTTTTTGTTTGTTTTTCACTTGTGTGCAGCCCCCAACCCAAAAAAGATTCCCCACCCCTGTTCTATCAGCTCTCAAGTTGCCCAGCAGTGCTGTAAGATCTCTACCACGACCTGTGCACAGCCAGGAAGCAGGACCCTGTGCAGTCATGTCGAGGGGAAGCGCCCAGAGAAGCCCTCTCCCCAGTAATAACCATGCTGGGTGCAGGCGGTGCTGGGTACAGGAAAGGGGCTGGTGAGCAGCACACCTACTGGTCTATGAACTGGGAGTAGGTCAGGGAAGCGTCTCTCCTCTCCACCGTGCAGTGCTCTTCTTCCATCGGAGCCAAGTACTTGTTTGTCAGCCTAGGGTGGGGAAAGGACAGAGCCCTTAGCATCAACCACTGCCAGCCTGAGCATTTCTGGCAGGCAACATCAGCCCTGGAGCAGCAACCCATGTAGGGGAGACTGGGGACATGGTCGCTGCCAGCTCCCTCCCCTTCTATTCAAGGGCCACTAAGGGTATGTCTAGACTGGGGCAGGTTTTCAGGTCTTCCTACTCCCCAAACGCAATTATCATGAGTGAACAATTTGAGAAACTGAGGCACGGAACGGGTACTTGATCTATCCATGATTACTGTGAGAATCAGTGGCAGAATCAAGACTACCGCCCAGGTCCCCCAATCCTTAGTACTTCATGCTTGTCCCCCATGGCAACTCTGCCACTAGACACCTAGGCAGAACTAGTTCTCCCGATACCAGCCAAGACTTACACCTGGGGAAAAAGGTGATCAGCGGCCCGCTTACAAAATGCTAGGACGTCAACAGCAGGCTAAAAAGCCTTTGTTCATCTGGCATCGCAAGGTAATAGTCCTTCTGCTGCAGTCAGGAGTCAAGCATAGTGCAATGACGGTCACAGTGGGAGAGCAGGGAGCTGTTGCCATTGTGGTAATCAAGAACCTGGCTCTTTCTGTAATGGAGTTGTCCTTGACCAACTTGGCATTAATCAACAGCGCATGCTGTATGGGCAGCACAAGCAGACGGGGACTGCAAACAGACCAGATACTTTAGTTCCCAGCGAGACTGAGACTATACGAACAGAGTCATTTGGGGCTAAGCGTTCGTGAGCTGGCGTCCACGTTGTCAGATGCATGAAGTTAGCAGGCTCCAGCTCAGGAACGCTTACGCCCAAATAAATGTGTTAAAGGTGCCAGAGGGCTGCTCCTGGTTCTTGCTGAACTAGAGGACCACAGCTCCCCTCGGCGCCCTGAGCCTACACTGCTGAATGGGTTGTCTACTTACCAGCCCCCGTTTTGCTCCGGGTACCCAAGGTCCGTGGGCAGGGCCAATGGGATGGCGAGGAGACAGACCTGCCACCAGGCCCCCATCTGCTCTGGCTGGGCTGGCCTCAGAGCCGCGGGCAGGAGGCGCTGCTAGAGGCGGGAGCAGGGAAATCCAGATGTTGGCCACTGGAACAGGCTGTACAGTGTGAGCGCTGCCCCCCCCCCCCCCCGGCCAATACCTGTTCGCACCCCCAACACGCGCAGCCCGTCTCGGAGACAGCGCCGCGCTCGCTCCGCCCAGCGCCCCGCCGGGCCCCGCTGCATGCTGGGAGCTGCGTTCCCGGCCTGTCACCGCCGCACAGCCAGACCCCCCCCCCGCCCGGGGGGACGCGCGCACACACCGGCCAGCGTGCCCCACGCGCTGGGCACTGACCCCCCGCCCCGCCTCGCCTGCTGGGGGGCCGTGATAGCCACGTGCTGCTACCCGCGCCGGTGACAGGCGGACTACATTCCCCAGCAGCCTCTGGGAGACGCCGCCATTGGTGGCATCGCGGAGAGCGGAGACGCTGATTCCGCGCGCTGCTATTGGACAGGCGGCCTGGGGACTACATTACCCAGCAGCCCTTGAGGCGCATCCCCCAGCTGCTAGTCCGCGGCTGGTTTTAGAGCCGGAAACGGGATGAGCCAAGTTCCTTCCGCCCCCTGTCTGCCCTGCTTTGCACCCCTCAGCCTGGCTTCTGCTCCATGGCCCGGCCCTGCCCACGTGCTTGTGCTCCCCACTTTCCCACCAGGTTTCCTGACTGCTGCCAGCTTGGGCCAACAGCTAGTGGATTGCTGCTGCTTCGTCCCTCCTGTGCCAGGAGAGCAGGGGCCACCGCGGTGCACAGCAAGGGGCGAGAGGCAGGATGTCAAGCACTTGTGTCTGTGGAAGTATTTAAGGGTGCCAAGGAGGGCGGTGTCTCAGACAAGAAGAGTAGGTGTCTATGCTGTGCCAGTGGCCACACTACAGAGAGAGGGTCATGTGGTGCCCATTGGACAGGTAGTACACGTGTGAGGGTAGGACCTGCCCTGAAGAGATGCCAGCCCTCCCCTATTCAAGCCCATTTGGGGGCCTTTAGAGCTGTCGTCATTTTCAAAGCACTGTTTCAGCATTGCCTTTAGAAGTCATGTGATGCATTAGGTCCATTTAACAGGTAGGGGTCCATTTAACAATTGGAGAAGTTAAGTGACTTGTCTAAGAAGGTGCACGAGGATGGATTAAGGGTCCTGATGCCTAGCTCTGGGACTAAGTGGATTCTGCTCACCCCAAGACATCAATCTCAGCCCTCTGGATTCCCCAGGAACAAGAGGATGTTCATCTGAAATCACAGGTGAATTAGTGACTTAATCAGAATTGTCCCTAGTCTCCAGAGGCTGGTGCCCTATTCATTATGAAGCATGACTGTGTGCTTTTCTTTTCCAGAGGAGACTGCAGTTACCTTAATCTCAGCATGTAGAGGCTGGATGGGGAACTGGGTTAATAACTCTCTTTTCCAAGAATTGCCTATTAGACTGCGGTCAGGAGCCATTATTAAACCTCTTTCCACAAGAACCAGACTACATGCTATGCACATGCAGCCAGAGCTGGACAAAACAGGGTTCACATGTGGGCAACTGCACACAAACCAGGGACTCGCTGAGGCTTTGTTTTTTTTATTTAGTATAAAAGTCAAGTTGTAGCTCAGAGTCCGGCTCAGACTGTCTTACTCATTAGATCAGTTTACAAAGACCTATGTTTACACAATATTGTTCTCTTTAATACAAACAATTATTTACACTCTAGTCAAAAATAAATAGAAGACAATGAGTAGGAAAAGCCACCCAGAAAGGCTCTTGGATGGTGTAGGCTTCGCTGTATTTTAAGCACCATGGAGGAGCCTGACTCACTCTCCTGTTCAAGGATAACGCACACTGCAAGAGGGGCCTCCGCTGTCAAATCCAAGACAGACTCTCCTGACAAGCTGCTGTGACTCCAAAACCTCCATTCAACCATGGTCAGTCAGGTCAGAGACTGAATCGTACCTCACATCAGTTGAGGGTTGGTTCCTATCAGTTCAGGTATATTCACAGAGATGGCCGCAGCCTGCTGGACAGTGTGAACTGGTCTCTAGCCACTTCATGATGTGCTGCAGATGGCCACCGTGACTGCAGCCCTGGCACCACACAAAGAGGCCCTTCACCACATGATGGCACACAGCACACGTGCTGGCACACTGCCGACACCTGGCCCAAAGAAAGAAGATTACAGGTCAATCAGCTGCAGAGAAAGCACCCTGGGGCTCTCAAACCCTAGCACGCACCAGCTGGATCAGGGAACCCATCCACACAATGCAGCCTCCTCAGGGAGTGAGCTGTCAATTCCTGCCTACTCCTCAAAATGACAACTCCTTCAGTGTCAGCTGCCCTTGCTTGCACAAGGCAAGGAGTTTATAAACCAGAAACCCAAGAAAGCAGGAAAAATATAACATTGTGGCCCGATGTTGGACTCCTCACAGCAACGAAATCAACTACAAATTAAACTGCTTACAAAGAAGCAGTAGCATTATGGAGCGGAAGCTTTAACTCAGTCAGGCTGGGCGTAGAAGACTATTTACCATTCAGAATCAGCACAGCTCCTGAGTGATCTCAAGGGATCACCAACAGCAGAATGTATTTCCATGCTTCAGGGTGGTTCAGTGTTAGGACAGTTCTCAAAGTGCTGGGGGACCTGGCTTCTAGTCCCAGCACTGCCATTGGCCAGCTGTGTGACCTTGGACAAATCATTGCACCTCTCAGTCTGTTTTCCCTCCCCCTTGTGTCTGGTTTATTAAGGTGAGCTCTTCAAGGCAGGCAGGCCCTCTCTTTGTAGGTGTATGCACAATGGGGTGAGCCCCACTGGGGCCTCTAGGTGGTACTAGATAAAGGAAACAGGACTGAGCATGATGTTATTTCAAGGTAATTAGCTACCTACAGACAAACCCTGCAAAACAAAGGCATCTACCCCAACCCCCCTTCTACCCTATGGCATCTCACCTGTCACAGATCCAGCCCTTGTTGCTCATTGGCCGCTTGCAGTTGCTGCAGTTGATGTGCAGGGTGGTGGAGGCCTGGTTGAGGCAGTTGATGCCTCTGCACGTGCTCAGTTTGATCACCTCATTGGAGACATTCCAGAGCTGGAAGCGCTGTAGCAGGTCGATATAGGAGGTGTACCAGTGCTCCTGGGGGAGTGGGCACACACCTACGTTAGCCTTGGTTCACATCAGGGTGTGTGAACAAAGCTACTGAACCCAAGCCCCCTCCCTGCGACTCAGGTTAGATCGCCTCCAGAAAGGCACACCACTTAGCTCAGTGGCCCTCAACCTGTTTACCCTGATGGGCTGCATTCAATATTACCCAAGGCTGTCACATGGCCTGCAGCTGCATGCTAAGTGGTTGCTGGGCTGCAGGCTGAGAACCACTGTAAAATATTTCCTGGTTATTCTACAGCACACAGAGTTAGCTGGGATGGTACCAGCTCCAAAGATCTGATCTCTGCTGCCACCAGCCTACTAAAGCCAAAAGCATGAGTCACTCTGCTCCCTAGAAATTCTTAGCTCATAGTCCACAGGATCAACTCAGTGGGACCTTGCAGATGGAAACATTATTTCTTATTCATTTACAGTGGCTTGGTCTTACTATGTGTTTGCTGATAATTCTCCAGGAGAGTGCTCCCAAGCAGTGTGGGAGCAGGTTATCAGGCCAGACTCATGACCAACACCCACCACCTCCCTTTCAGTTAATGGATGAGGAACACCTCCTCCCGTCTGTGTTTGGAGTGTCCCACTCTATGTGGACTAGTAATAGAGATGTAGCCGTGTTAGTCTGGTGTAGCTGAAACAAAAACCAGGACAATGTAGCACTTTAAAGACTAACAAGATGGTTTATTAGGTGATGAGCTTTTGTGGGCCAGACCCACTTCCTCAGATCAAATTATGCCTATTTTCTTCCACAATTTGATCTGAAGTGGGTCTGGCCCACAAAAGCTCATCACCTAATAAACCATCTTGTTAGTCTTTAAAGTGCTACATAGTCCTGGTTTTTGTTCCTCTCTACATGGGCTTCCTTACAGCTGTCCAGGCCTTTGTCACTTCTCTGTACCTGAGACTCCCCCACTTTGGCTGGTGCCTGTCTGGTTAGCATCTCTGACAGTGTGTCAGCATCAGCTTCCAGTTAGCTGCCAGTCCAGGTGTGGAGTTCGAGCTCTAAAGGCATCATAGGACCACATTCTCCCCAAGTTGGGAATAGCTGGGGTGCTACAGCTCAGAGCCAACAGATACATCTGGCTGGGGCAGGCTGTCAGGGGACAGCCCTTGACTCTGGGATTTCTTCCCCACCAGTCCAACAGAGCCTGAGTTTGCTCATTGCCAAGTCTGCCCCAGCTTCTCCAAGAGGGTTGACAAGATAGAAGCTCAGTCCTTGGACCTTCTTTCAAGCAAGTGGAGTTGTTGAATGGCAAGTTATAGGTGAACTGTACTGCACTTAGAGCTCTGAAGAGCTGTGTTTTCATAAACCCTGGCATGATCACGAGAGCTGAGCAACACCCGGTGACTAAGGGGGTTAACTCAGGTACCTAGCAAAGGTGGGTGTGTGGTGGGTTTTTTTTCAGGCAATCAGCCAATAAAAATGCAGGTAGGAATTTCAAATGGGAAAACAGGGTTTTTTCTCCTCTCTCCTTTGTTTGAGATCAGAGTAGTTTCTCCCAGGTATTGAGGGAGATGGGAGACGCTTCTCTCTCCAAGAACAGACTTCCTGAAATGTGTAAGTTTAGATAGTCCATCAGGGTTTATTGTTTTCCTTGTTTGGAGGTTTGGAAATCATGTCTGAGCTGGCTAATTGTTTTTCTCTTGTGTAACTAAGGATTACAGCCCAGGGACTTTCCCTGAGTCTATGTCAATTGTGGCTATTTACCACCTGGCCAATTTACTATGCTTGCAACAGTAGTTTTGTTTTTGATGATAAAAGTTTTATTTTTATTTTAATTAACCGGTATTGGTTGATTGTGGTGTCCTTAGGATTAAGTGCCTAGTTACAAGGGTAGAGTCCATTGTCGTCTGTGGATTCCCTCTGTTTTCTCAGCTCCAAGCAAAACGGAGCTTGGGAGCAGTGGGGAGAGCTTTACCTTAGGGGAGGAGATTCCCAGCTGATCTCTCTCCCTGGAAAAGGGTTTTTATTTTGTATTTTCTTTTCATCACTTGGGTGGTGGCAGCACAGAACCAGTCTTGTCCTTTTGGATCTCAGGGGGACTG